TTATACATTCAATATTTATAATATGAAAGTAATATGATCTGTTTTACCTTTAACAAATGATGATTATCAACCTGTATCACATAAAAAATATCAATATGAAAAACAGGGATAAATTTTACTTTAATGATATATTTTTATAAAATCATCAAACCATTTAACCAAGTTATGCACAATTAAACAAGTAAAGTGTTACAGAAATGCCGCAACAAATATGTATCATTGTATAAAACAACATTGGCAATCATGTGAAGTACCAAAATATATCACATCAAATGAGACAACGACTGCTTTATTACTGGCACATTTTGTTCCCACAGAATGCTTACTCGCTCCTACTTAACGTTTATTTGCATCGTTCATTTAGCTCTGCCTTGAGGTAATAGAGTTGAACCAACGATTCGCTCTCGACGATTATTCTAGTAATTAAATCACTTTCTAGTACGAGTTCAACGATTTAAACAGAATGTTATTTGAAGAAAATGTTAATGGTTTATAATGTGACAGTATAGCTTGTGTATGTTTTAGCGATGCTTTCACTTAGAGAAAGAATAAGTGGATAATAAGCAGTATAAAACAGTTTGATTGAATTCACCAGAGCCCGTCATTAAGTGCCTACTAGACCGAGGACATTTTGAGTTTTAACAACCATGCTGTTTCGATATCAGGAAGGTCAAGATCTACTTAAGAAATGAAATGCATTTTTATATTTTCACCCATTGTGTTAGAGCTTTAATATCATTCATATATCTGCTTTCAACAGTAAATGACAACATGTATCATCATAATTTATCAAGTACCTGACTTTAAACGTACGGCTCTTACCCTATTAGACACATTTTATGTCAGAACATATTAAGAATCTCTTTTCCTTTAAACTGAGTTCATTATACCTGCTGTCATTGATAATCGACGTAGACAAATTAGCAGAATGGGTTTGTTGCCGCTTCCTGAAATGTCTTGATTGTTGAGAAAGGAAATTACCATAATTGGAAACTTGTCTAGACGTACAAAATATCTGCATATATATTTTTATCTGTTTCTGATATTTTCACAATAGATTTAAACTATCTGTTTAATATCTTATTTTGATATTAAGAAAGACAAGAACATATCAAACGACCCGAAATCACATTACATCCTTTTGTTTCATTAAGTTTTCAATTTTTTCAGTATCATTTAAATTGTTTACTGGTGATGGTTATAAAAATCTTTTCTTTTGATGGAATTACGGAAAAAGTGCTGGTATTTGAACGTCGATCCTTAAATGTCAAAATGGTTACATGGGAAAGGCGGACTTAAGCTTCAAAATGTCTAAATTTGTGGTGCCTGGAATAAATGACATTTTGTAGAAAAGAGGCAATAGTTCTTTAATCTTTGTGTTTGGCTTTCGTAAAATTATATCAAGCGGAAACATTATACAGTTATTACAGTGCGAAATATTATGTTTTGATGATTGTAATTCCAACAATTTCACTAGATATCGCATCATCAAAATTAAATTCTTAATCGTATTAAGAAGATATAAAACTGCAAATATTTATACGTGAATTCGAACTAAAGTGTTGGATTTTTAGAGCAAATAAAACATTTGATGACAAAAGTTAAGAAGTCAAATTTGGCAACACATGATAGAACCGTGAAGAAATAATTTTGTTCAGCAATTTCATGTTAATCGTTTAAGTATTTAACTGCAAAGTTACAGAAAACAAGTTAACAAGTTAACTGCGTTATTAGCAATTCTAATTAATATCTTTTATTTACTCGACAGTTAGCAATTAAAAGTATAATTTTCTTTTTTTTAAAGCCAGCTGTTCGTAATTGTTAGTATTAAAACTATAGAATAATAATCAAAAATTGTATTGATGATAGAAATACATAGATCAACAGGGAAAATTAGCGTTTATGGAATACTGTCCACACACAAATAGAAAGGAGTTTATATAAAAAAATAGAATCGAGGCAAAAACAGGAAAAGGGCACAATGTTTTGAGCAGGTAAGATATATTAAATAAGCAAATTAGGATAACCTCGACAAAGATATTGCTATAAAGATCACTAACAGGCAGCCGAACAATTTTCATCAACATCTTGACAGTTATACTTGCACTTTCAATCCGAATGTGTTACTATATGATAAAGTATATGTCTTACCTTTGAACGACCTTCTCCTAAAATTAAAAATACGACCGATAAGTCTGATTCTTTCATGTAACTAAAACTTCCGAATGATGTGTAGTCATTTGTAGAGAAGGATATTGATGACGAGGATCATTTGTGGAATACCAGACAAGGTAATACAATAGCTAGGGGAACACAAAGTCTGTTCACGATCATGTTGATGTGTTCATGAACATTTTGGCATCATTCTTGCTCTGTTCATGAACATTTTGGTATGTTCATGAACAAGCTGACAATAATCATGAACTTTAAAAACAAATTTGTCTTTACAATTTTAACCCATGTGAATACTTTTTAGTGTTAGAAAAAATTTCAGTTCATGAACTCATGAACTGAAAAATTTCAGTTCATGAACTCTCGTGAGTTCATGAACTCACTGATCATCAACAAGAGTTGGCTGACCTTGGTAACACCCATAATGCAAAAGTCAACATGGCCGCCAGAAACAAAGCTCTACATGTGTTTTAACAAACTTTCGGTGCAAACTTACTTAAAAATGGAATAAATAACAATGACTTAGCAAAATGAAGAAAAAGTGATGTATTTACATAATGGACTATATAAAATCTTATGGAAAATTGTGTCAAAGAAATAAATTGAAGAGCAAACTGGCAAGTCGTGAATTCTAATGACAATTCAAATTGTACATAGGGAATCAATGAGCACAGTGTTTAACAAGTTTCATTACCTGTGTAATGGGCTTTTGTGTTTTGTATTTGTACTAAAACACTGTCTATTGTGCATTTTATGGCTGGTACAAATCAGCAGTCTTAGAATTAAATGAAAATTGATTGTGATGTCACATTATTATGACCCCTGGGAGAAGTTTTTGAATTGTTCGTGAACATATTCATGAACAATTTCATGAATGTGCATTTGAACAAGTTCATGAATGTGCATGAACAACAAATGAGACTTTTTTTCTTTCATGGACAATTCATGAATCGATATATTCATGAATGTTCATGAACATATATTCATGAACATGTTCATGAATATCTTGATTCATGAATTGTCCGTGAACTAAAAAAAGTCTCATTTGTTGTTCATGCACATTCATGAACTTGTCCATGAATATGTTCATGAACAGTTCATGAATTATTCATGGAATTCTCGCAGGGGGAGTAACACACTTATAAAATAAAGGTTCTAATTAATAAACCAGTGTTTATAATAATTAAAATAAATTAGCTTTATTTTATTTTTCACTCTTCTAATTGTTCTTATCTGTTGTATACATAAAATTTTATAATCAATGTCTTTTTATGGTATTTAATTTTTTGATAACAAAAAAAAAATGAAAAAATATATACATGTAGATTTATAGCTGATAATTCTTTCAGAACTTGAATAAAATATCATATCAATAATAATTTTCCCAGGGGAATTTCATTGTATATATCACCGAAAAATCTTCTTTTTAATACAATCATGAATATAATTGTTTGCACGAGTGTGTTATATTATAGTATTACATATATAATATAATAACCCGTAATGCATGGTATTTATTTTATATAGCTATCAGATTTAAAAGAAAAGACCTAACCGTTTTAAGGCCGAAACATCCAGGAGGTGTAAAGTCCTGAAACATATAGATTTAGCTCGTCTTGAAAATATGTTTACAAAGCAAAGTATTTTTTCAGAAATGTGCATAAAGACGAACCTGTTAAATTACTTTTTAATATTAGAGCATGATAGCTTATAATTTCAAAAATCATTTAACTTGAGGCTGCACGACAAAAAAATAATGTTGTTCCAGGTTGAGCGCATTACAACTCTTATCATTTATGGAAGTGGCTAGCCGTACGGGCCCGTACGGCTAGCCAAAAGTTCTAGCCGTACATGTACGTGAGCCTGGACAAACTGTATTGGCTATCCGTACGGCACTTTTCAAAAATATATGGAAGTCGAAATGCATATTCTATTTTGTGTCTTTAAACAACAATTTTAATCAAATCTCCGCATTTGTCCTAGTTTGTTCACTTCAATAAAGATGCTCCGCAATTTTGCAAAAAAAATGAATACGAGTAAGCGTTGTATAATCTAGCTTAATAAAATTAAAGTCCTTAATGTTCATGCTTATGATTTGTATGAAAGATGAATTGTTAAATCTGTTAAGCACATGGATCGAATAAATAATGATCGGAGGGGAATAAATAAATACATGTAAATAAAAAAAAGAATATTAAAAAAAACAGTGAAAAAGAAAAATAATTTAATAATGCAAACTTTCCTTAATGATGGACGATGGACAAACTTCTATACTGACGGTAATTGATGCAATTATCAGAGCCCAACAATTATTCGTTTCAAATGCTAAAAAAATCATTTTAACACTTAAAAGGTAATAGCGTACTAAATATGACAAATATTGACTTGAAATAAAGTGCATACCAACACAGACCAAGGCTGCACCAAAACGCATAAAATACGTAAAAAACGTTTTAATGACTCAATTGTCTTAAAAACAAAACAAAACATTATGAACAAATGAACTCCACTGAGGTTTGTTTGTCAAGACGGGACTAGAAATATTTTTTAACTTGAATCTTCCATCTGATATAGGTCTAGTGCAAAATTTCTGATCATATACCTAAATAGTTATTCTATTTTTTGCAAATGATTCATGCAACGCTTATCGCTCAGCTCGAGATAAATAGCACAAAATACGACACTTTTTCCTTTAATCTGTTACAGCCACAGCTGTGTTTTAACGTGTTTATTTTTATTCTCATACCTTTTGCATACATATGAATGCTGTTAAACAGTTATTAAGTTATAAAGCATCTCATAAGTAAGCAAAGTAAACCTTGAAAATTAAATATTTTAATTGCTGACTTACATTAATGAATTCATATATGAAGTAAAAGATATTAATTATTATAATGATGTCGGGTGTTTTATTCTCCATTGTTGTGAAGTGTCGCCTGTGATTTTAAATGTAAGATGACCAATAATGTAAGTGTGTAGCACCTTTCTTACGATTTTAAAGGACTCTGTAGCTTAATCGAGAATTTGTTTTCATACAGGTTTTCTACCAGTCTTATTTACTATGGTGTTAGTTTTGGAATCCAGGCTCTAAAGGGAAATATCTACCTGAATTTATTCATATTTGGTGTTGCTGGCATACCAGCAAAACTGATCTCTGTTTATATGACTAATAGGTGAGGGGATTGTTTTGTTTGAGGGACATTTGAGTAAAAAGCAGCAATCAATAGAATGTATTGAGATTTTGGAAAAAAAATGTATTTTCCGATACCAATATCACTTTAATAAATATATAGATGTATCAAATCTTTAGGCACGGAAAGCAGAAATGATCAATGCACCACATCACGACCATGGCCCTTCTTGTATTCTTACTATTTCTGTAATTGTAATATAATTTTATGCGATTGTATAAAATTATAATGTTAATTGAAAATCTAAATAAAGATTGTTTTTTTATATTGACATAATTATTGAGTTTGTTATTCCCAACGCACATAATGTTTAATCAAGCCGAATATAACAATAAAGAATAAAATTCATGGGTCAAAATATAAATTTTAGATTCGGGAAAAAGATTGCTTCCATGATTTGCTTTACTGGCATCATAATTGGTGGTTTTGTAGCCGGAACAGCACAAGCTTTTGGTAAATAAACATGAGTCATATTTTAGATATTTTGTGTCAACAAAGCATACCGTTTACAAGTTATCGCGTATATTTCATAAATGTATATTCACTGCAACAGTATCATGTTGACAGATATGTACTTTCTCAATGAATCTTTTGGAGGCTTTATTTACATTTTGTCATGGAACCTGTAACTTATTCTTTGTTTCATTTTTGGTTTCCTTTAATTTCTCTCAAAGGATTTTCTTTTTAGACATTGTCTTATAATTTTGAATAAAATAATTCCGAAGTTTGACAACGATATTAACCAATGTTTGCTTTTAATATGCTAATAAATAGAGTTGTTGTTTAATTAAAAACATGTTTAGTATCTCTTCAATACACTTTAACTGCAGACTTTGGTGTCTTGAATTTATTAAAATAATGAACGATATTCTTTTATAAGATACACCACATCGTGACGTTTTAACTACTGCGTTTGCTGTACTTGCATGTATGACAGACCAAATGGCTTCGGGTCCAATTCAAACTATGACGATAGAAGTTTATCCTACTGTTATAAGGTAATCCAAAATGAAGAATTAAAGAAAAGTTGACCTTAGGACAAAACAGTAATATACATAGTATAACTTTACGATGCATTTAAGTTATCAATTCTGTTCATGGACGGTACTGGAAAGTGCAAGTTACCGTCCACGCCCCTAGCACCGGCTTTAGCAGAATTCAACATTTAAACACGAAAAATGGTAAAATTTTGAATTCAGAAACATCCGCAGATGCGGCGGTTATCATAGAGCCTTAAATGTGACACAGTAGTGCCATTCCATGAAAAGCGGCGTATGGCCCCCAATTAAAAAAATGCTTGTGCCCTAAACGAGAAAACAATGGGCGGAAATAAATAAAATGGAATTTTGAAAGGGGGTCTGAAGTTATAAGTCATGCATATCACAGATAAGACATCAAAAGACAATTTAAAAAGCAGGCAACATATCTTCAGGGTGATTAGACAGTATTCGAGTAGGAATACTGGAACCACCCAAGTTGAAAAACGCCAAATAGAAGAAACTTAAATACCACATAACATGTAAACACAACAATTAAGTCGTGCTGAACGATCTTCAAGGATCGAAAATATAACATCTTTGATCTTAAAGTTGATAGTTCTGATAGAATTAAATGACTCTTCAAAGAATAATGTTGACTGCAAGAAATATTTTTATAGTTATGATAAAATTAAATGACTGTTCAAAGAAAAATGCTCTTTTGAAAATTTCAGAAATATTGGTTTTGGATCATTAAGTGTCATCGACGGATTAGGTGCAGCATTAGGTCCACAATTTGTTTACTTGGTAAGATTTAAGTAAAAGTCCAATATGTTGTTTTTACACAATTTACTTTTTTCTACCATTGCTTGCCTGTTCGTGGACGACAATGACAACTGTATGTCAACGTCCACGGCCGTTAGCACCGACTTCAATTTGACTATTTCATGCCATTCCATAACGTGCATGTCAGAATCACATACGTAGCAAAGAACTTGCATGCACCAGGATTGTTTGTTGTATTTTTTATTTACTTTTCCTTTCTAATATTAGTAATAGAACATGTCATATAAAGTTACCTTATCTCAACTGTATAAGATGTTTCTTTTTGCTTTCATGAAGAACATGTATGTGCCAGGATTGTTGTACTTCGTTTGTGGTGGAATAGCGATACTGTGTCTTATCTCACAACAGTTCTTACCGGAAACGAGGGATTCAAATTTGAATGACAAAATTCACCCGCAAAAAGTGAAAGAAGAGCCCTGTGGGGAGAAAGATTCAAAATTTTAATGAACATCACCTTTGGCGTGTAAGAAGTATAAGTATGCGAAACATATCGATAGCTTATATGGTTATTTGTTTATTTATGACAGCTTTGATTTAAAAATATTTTAAAAAGTTTGTTAAAACAAACAAATAAAAAAAAAGCCACATAAATTATAAATTGTCATACATTTTAAAAAGTTTTAACTGTTGTTAATCTAGCCGCAAAATGATTTTTTGGCAAAAAAGCTAATAAATATTTAACTGACTTGACTTAATTTGAACAGTGAGACTCAAGTTTAATTTAAATGAGCAGTAACCGAAGTGACAAATCGACAAATAAGAAAAGAAAATGAATGACGATCATCGGATACAAAGAAAATAAAATTCATTGATAAATATATATGCATTATTAGTTAAAAATGTTTTAAAAGTACATTGAACATACATCTAGGTAATGCAAGCTTTTATATCTATGTAATTTATTAACATTCATGTGCATGAATAAACTTGTAATGAATGTTTAGTTACACTGATTACCGTGTTGAAATTTTATTAATGACCATCTAAAATTAAGCGTGCTAACGCAAGACATAAAAGTCATGCGTGCATGCATATAAAAACAATAGAAAGAAATGCTACAATAAGAAAGTTATACATACTTAATTACTAACATTAATTGAATGGTCTCCGTTTCACATTATTCATATCATGATACTATTGCATAATGGGAAATAATCAAAATGACATTACCATAAATTAAACATCTCATTAAGTAAGTTTGATGTTGAGAGTGTTAAAGCTTTCAGCTTGATATGAACGACCGTACTATTTTTGCAACGAGCTTGATACATATACCAGACCAGACCGCGAGCAACTCTGCCAGGCTCCATTTTTTGTCATTAAAGCAGACAGCAATTTTAGGAGCATGACTGGTTATGGAGAGATTCGACATTATTTGTGTAGCTTTATCCGATAGTTTTATAGGTGTTTTTGTCCCTTGAATAAGAGTTTGATTGTGGTCATTAATACGAAAACAACACTTTATCGAATGGTTATGATTTTCTTTAAATAACTAAACTAAAACAATGCTAATTTGCTGATCAGCAACCTGATACAAGCTGCTTTGTAATTCAGAAAATTATTCCTACCATTAATGTGGCATTCCTGAAATACACATTCATTTGCAACGCACGTCTTGTTAAATGACTTGCTGTCAGTTTCAAAAGATTAATATTATGCCAAAGTCGTTGTTTCTCTTTTTCTGTGCTGGAATCGCTGTAAGCCTATTGTTTCTTTTCTCACATTTTTTTAACAGAAACGCGCTATTTATTTAAACGACAAAAGCCGTAAATATGGCAGTCATGTTACGGTGAAATCGGGCATTGAGTGACCTTAACCTATAGCTGTTACATAGATGTTTCTAAAAATGTATTAAATTCTATGGTTTGTAAAGTAGCAGGATATTTTTAGAATGTTCGGGTTTCAGGTTAGCTTTAGTACAAATGTACAAGAATAAGGATTTCTCACTTACAATCATTATGACTACCTTGTTCTATCTTTGAAAAAACCGGTTTAACAAAAACCCTTTAAAAACGGGGATTCCCCTTTTTTTAATTAAAAACCATTACAATTTTTTTAATTTTGTTAGTTTTAAAAAAAAATTTTCCAAAAATATAAAAAAAAAGTTTTTTTTAAAAAATTTTAGGGATATTTCAAACCCAACCCAAAAAAATTTTTTTAAAAACCCTAAAATGCATATATTTTTAAAGGGGAAATTTCACGGGGGGATTTTTGTCCTAATTTTTTTTGGTTTTTTTTTTTTTAAAATTTTGTATTATTTTGTTGCTTTTTTTAAGGGTCTTTATATGTTCAAAAAATTTTTGAAAAATGAGGGGACCCCCCAAGGGGGTGACTCAATTAATAAAAAGGGTTTTTCCCTTTTATTTGTGCATTTTTGGCATCCCAAATGACTTTCCCCCCAAATTTTGGGTGTTCCCCAAATTGGGGCCCATTTTGGTACTTTTAGGTTGAAAGAAGTTTTTGAATGGGAAAGGGGGTTTCCGCGGGTAAAAGGGTTGTAAAAAAAAATTTAAAAAGTTATTATCCACCTTGATATTATTTTTCATTTTTTTTCTTTATTTAAAAAAAATTTTGGTTTTTTTCCCAAAACCGGGGAAATCCCCTTTTTTTTTTTGATCCCCCGCATGAAATTTGGAAAAAAAGGGGGGGCCGTTTTTAAACGTGTTTTTATTAAAATTTTTCTATGTGTTTTAAATTTTAATATTGTTTCCCCCAAAAAAAACCTTTGAAAATCTGGGGCCCCTTAAAAAAGATAGGGGGGGGGGGGGGGAAAAAAACTTTTAATTTTATTTTTTTTACTTTTTATTTTTTGCCTTTTTTAAACAGGGTTTGGAAAAAAAATTGAAAGCCCAATTTTTCCAATTTTATTCCCTAAAATCTGACAAAATTTTTTTAAAGATCCCATTTTTTTAACCTTCCCCCCCCACTTTTTCCCAAACCCCAATTTTGGGGAACAAAAAATTTTCCGTTTTTAAAAACCCTTCTTTTTGGGGGGAAACGGGTTTCTTTTATTTTTAAAAAAAAAAATTTTTTTACCTGGGGCCCTCCCGAAAAAAAATCCCTTTAAATTTTCATTTTTTTCTGTGTAAAAACCAGTTTTTTGCCCAATCAAATTCTTTCCATTATTTTGGGGTTTTTGAAAAGGGTGTTTTATTTCCCTTTTTCCCCGGGGGTTGGTTTTTCCCCCTTGGGATGTTTTTTCTTTTTTAAAAAAATAAAAAATTAATTTTGTCAAAAAAGGGTTTTAAAAAATTTAAATTTGTTTGGGCCTTTCCAAAAAAATTTTAAATGGGTTTGGGGTTTTTGGTTTGATTTGGGGAAGGGTTCCGGAATTTGGGGACAGGGAAAAAAACCCATTTTTTAAGGGTTTTTGAAATTTTTTTGGTAAAAAATTTAAATGCCTAAAAACGGGATTTTTGGGATGGGTTTTATAAAAAAATTACATTTTTACTCGGGTTTGGAAAAATTTAAACCTAATTTCAAATTTTTAAAGGGATTTGATAGGGGCAAGTTTTTGAAAAGAAATTTAAAGGATAGTCCCCGGGTTGAAATAATAAAAAAAAAATAGCGTTTATGGCTTCTTAATCTTTAAAAAAATTTTTTTTTCCCAAATAAAAAAAAGATTACCCCATTTTTTAAAGGGGAAAGGGCGTGATTTTAATTTATTTTTTTTAAAATTTTTTCCTTTCTTTTTTTCCAAATAAAACTTTCCAAAATTTTTTCCCCAAATTTTTTTTATTTTTTCTTTTAAAAAAACCCGGCCCTTTACGTTTAGAAAAAAAGTTCGGGAAAAGGGTTCCCAAGAAAAACGGATAAAGGGCCTTTTTTAAATTTTATTAATCAGTCTTTTGAAAACATACTTTGGGAGAAACTTTAATTTTAAAAATTTTGTTCTCGTGAAAGGGAAAAGGGGGCAAAATTTGGGGCCCAATTTTTTTTTACTGGCCTATTTTTTTTTTAAAACGGTCCTTGCCAAGGGGAAGGGGCCCAAAAACGAATCATCATTAAATTTTTTTTACCCCAAGGGTTTTTGGGGAAAAGGGTTAAAATGGTCCAAAAAAAAGCGCCCAGGTTTTAATTTTTTGAAAGTTTTTACTTTAAACCAAGATCCCAAAAAGTAAAAAAAAAATTTTTTAAAAAAAGAAGGGTTTTTTAAGGGAATTTTAAAAATAAGGGGAATTTAAAATTCCCAAATTTTGAATCAGATTTTTTAAAAAAAAAAATTTTTTAAAAAAGTTTTAAATTTTTGGGAAATCAGCCATAAAAATGAAATTTAATTTTAAAACCCGGTTTCCATTTTTTTTTCCCTTTTGTAAAAAATGGGCCCCTTTTAAAGTATGGGGTTTAAAAAAGGCTTTTAAAAAAAAATTAAAAAAATTAGTAAAAAACCCCCCGCAGGGGGGAACCCTTGCCGAAAAAAAAACTATTTGGGGGGAATTGAAAAAATTATAAAGGGGTTTTAAATCCCGGTAAAAAATTTTTTGAAACCCGGGGTTTTTGGGGGACGGTTTTTTACATACAAAAAAAGGGCTGCCCCAAAGGGATTTGGGGTTCCCGTTTGAAAAAAAGTTGGGGGAGATAAAAAATTTTAAAATTGGGGAAATTTTTTCCAAATCCTAACCCTCCCAAATTTTTTTCCTCAAAAATACCCAAATGTTCCCATGTGGAAAAAGCAAAAAAAAATTTTGTTGATTTAAAAGGGAATTTCCCAACAAGGGGATTTAAAAGTAAAAAAAATTTATTGACGGGGAAAAATTTTTTAAAAAGCTAGAGGGGGAAAAAATTTTGCCCCTTTTGGGGGTTTTGCTTTTGGGGCCCCAAAATGAAAAAACATTTTTTAAAAAAGCAACCCAAAAACCTTTGGGAAAAAAGAGTGTCCCAAAGGAATTTTAAATTTAAAAGTAAAAGTAATTATTTATGTTATGGGGCAATTAAGGGGGACTGTTTTTGGGGCAGTATTTTTTTTCATTATTTTTCATTTTTTCGTTGAAAAAAACCACAGTAAGGGTTTATTTTTGGGCAAAAATTTTTAAAACCGGGCTTTTTTTGGTTTAATTGGGGCCGGTATTTTTGTAATTTCCCCTTTTTTGGCCAATCCCTTTAAAAAAAAAACTTTTGTGTTCATTTTTTAAAGGAAATCTTTTTTTTTGGAAATTTTAAAAACTTTTGGGAAACTGGAGATAGTTTTTTTAATTTTAGATGTAAAAAAAAGGTTTCAAAAAACCGTACTTTTCTATCACCTTTTTTAACCCTTTTTAAAACGTTCCCCAAAACCTTTTTAAATTTTCTTCTTTTATAAAAATGGGAAAACTTTTTTTATTTGTTTTGGGATTTTCCCATTTTTTTTCACCCCAAAAATCTGTCATATAAAGGGGGATTTTAAAAAATAAATTTTACGAAAAGGGCCCCATAGTGTTAGGGGTTCATTCAGAAATTTTTAATTTAAAAAAAAAAAGGAAATTTCCCAAAAAACGAAATTTTCGAAAAGTCTTTTTGGGGTTTTTTTGGGGCATTGAAATATTTTTTTCCAAGTTTTCATTACTTTGCTTTTTATATTTTGTAAAAAAAAGGGAATACCCCATACCCACCCCCAAATTTAAAAACCAAACCACCTTCGTCTGTTTTAAAAATATCCCTTTAAAAGGGGGTTTTTATTTTTTTAACTGTTTAAAAAAATTTTTAAAGCGGGAAAACGACCGGGAAACAACCCGGAGTACATCCGTAACTCTGCCGGCAACGTCCGGGATGATCCGGGAACATCGGCATTCGACACCGGATAGAATAAAATATTTAATATCACCGGGGTGGTCCGGGATGACCCGGGAAGGTATAGCTTTGCCGGCTTCATCCTTAGCTCTGCCGGGAACAACCGGGGTTATACCGGGGAAGCACCGTAGCTCTGCCGGCACAAAATCCATGGTATGATATAGCCGGTAGAGCTACGGTAGAGCCCCGGTAGATGCCGGTAGAGCCCCGGTAACTACAGACAGAGCCCCGGAGGATAAAGGTAGAGCTGCGGTTGATCCCGGTAGAGCCCCGGCAAAGCCCGGTTCATTTCAAAAGAATAACGACAATTTGCGATGATTGAACTTGTTTGTATTAAAACCCTTCCCATTTCCCTTCTATCCAGTCTGGCATAAGGGTTTTTCAGAAAATCATCATGAATTACTATTCTGGAACAAAATGTATTATATCAAATAAAAATTATGTATCAATGTTATCATTTTCGGGCGTTTTCAATCCACCGGGGTTCCTGGG